ATATGATCGTTAAAATAATCGAAAGAAATCAGTGAACACAAGGCACGAGAGAACGGAAACAGACTCGATTCTGCAGCAGAAATCAGTGCACGGGCTCAGGAACAACCACTGAACAAAGTTTGTCTCTGCACTCATAAAATAAAGAGAAAACTCAGCTGCATGGACCTGAATTGTGAAATTTTATTGCATTTTTTTAAATCAAATACACCTCTAAAGAGGAAACACCTCGCTTGACATCAGAAAAGCTGATGCAAAACAAAGGCTTTGTCTCCAATTATTTAAAATGTGTTACAGATATAAAACTTAAAATGAGCCTTAAAAAAATCTGATATATTGTCTTTGCAACAATTTCACTTAAATAAAATAGTTTAATCATAATGAAATCATCACATAAAATATGGCTGTACAGTGTTCCAATCTAATGTTATCTATCCCATCCCCCAAATCTTGATCTAGAACACATGTCATGAATTAATCTTCCTTTTTCTTACAAATACAATTTAAAAACTCATATTTTGACATTAACAATAAATCAGTTCAGTATGACATGAAAATGGTTCGTATTATTTCCACGCCCTACTGAAAGTAATCACCTAACTTCATTCTTCTTTCAGACGATGAGTTCTTTATATAAAACTGAAGGCATACTTTTCTCTACAACAGGCTTTAACATGTCGGATGTTCACTGCCTGCTCATTGCAAAAACAGAACAATGCCAATGCAAGTAAGTGTTTTCCTAAAGCATTATTATTATCTCTCTTATTCAGTGGGTTTCCACACATTTGTACTTGGAATTGCAAGTAAATGAACTTGTGACTGCTATAAAGGCATAAAAGCCATAAGCTTTAACAGTTTGATGCTCCTCACTTTTACAAAGCAATAAGAAAAAAGCTGCAATCAAGTCCTGCAGAATGCTATCAGTGTTGTTTCACACCAACATCAACCAGAAAAAGAAAACAGGATGTAAATATAAAAAAAAAAAAAAACAATCATGTAGATTATTTTTATCTCACGGTTTTCTTACCTTTCAAAATGTCTAAACATATTCTTCCCAGTTTGTCAACATTGGGGTGATAGATTTTGGTCATGAATCGCACTTTGGGAGCTGCCATGGGATACTCTTCTGGAAGAAATAGTTCAAGTTTAAATGTGCCTCCTTCAAAGGGAGAATCTTGAGGCCCTGCAATGAACACATGGAAGTAGCGTGCATTCCCTTCATCAGGCGTAGCAGTGATCCCTGGAACAGGCTCTGCCATCAACCGCTGCGTTTCCTGAGCAAGGTCATAGTGAGAAACACAGTTGTTGACATTTTGAATTTAAAAAGGAAGAAAAAGTGTTGCATGAAGAACTGTAGGAGGGTGTCAACAACAGACTTTTAAGTGCATAATGGTTCGTAATACACAATTTCACCCCGCTTAGTCACACAAATACTTTCCACTTTACCCTATATATAGACAAGAAAACATTTCCACAAGTTATTTAAAATGGAAACTAAAGGCAGTCAAGTGTCCGTGCAGTGCCTCGCACTGACAAATAATTCAGTGGCTCCACTTTATTTTAATCTAAAAAAAAATTTTGAAATTCAACCAATCATTTCACAATATCGGTACCTAAAACAAGCCTTTTCTCTCCATTGCCTCCTTAATTTCTTGTAGTCTTTTTTCCCTTCCTCACATTGTACTTCTGTTCGTGCTTTAGAGAAGTGGTTCTTATCTTTAATATGGAAATATTTTTGTGGCCGAGTACAAACATTTTTTTTAAGCAAAAAATACAGTTGCAATAAAGAGTATGTGAGCCAAAAACTGTGGTTTCAGACTGCTCTAAACAAAACTGCAGTTCAAACCTTCCTTTTACGAGGGGCAGCCAATCAGAATCACATTAGCTTAAAGGGAGCTCTTCAAATAGCTTTTCTTGCTAAAACTCTGAGACATCAACAAACAAACAAATTAGCCAATAAATAATCGCTGTTTAAAGAAGCAACCAGTTATCAGATTGACTGCAGATTTTTTTGCCTGTCAGTCTGAATAAATTTGTCCAGATTACTTTTAGAAACTGTTTCAGTGCAAGGATTGTTCCACTTTACTGGGTGTATTAACAGTGTATCTGCTAAAGAGTTTTACCGCAATGAACACTGTGCGAAAATGAACAAGGAGGAAGTAGACTATCTATTTAAGATTTCTGCATTCGCTTGAGCAGGTGCACCAAAACATCTGCAATAAACAGGAAGGAAACTGATTCACTCTTAGAATTAGAAAAAACAAAAACGTTTCTTTGTTGTGAATGTAAAGCAAAATGCCACAGGTTTATAAACAGAAGCTGATTCCGGTTTTCCCACTTTGCCTACGGTCGTGTTACTGGTTGTGAAAACCTGTTAAACCTGAGGAAGAGCTGCTAGACGTAGCGGAAAAGGCTGATCGCGCCCACTGCCGGGCCTGGCCCAGCGAAGCTGCGGTGAGGCTAAGGGAGGAGACCGCAGCCCTTAAGGCCTTGCATTTCTGTTTTAGTTCCATATATTTTAATACAAAAACTAAACAAAAGATGACATGGTGACATGCTCGCGTAGTTGGGCTCGAACATATGTTTCGTGAGCACAAGGGCAGCGCTTCACATCAGCATCAGACATGTGTACGAATCGGCAACGCTAAAACTGCTAGCCTAGCTCACTTAGCAAATCCATTCATAGGGCGACTGGGACAAATTTCTACAATCAGTCGAGTCATGCTGAAAATGTAAGAAAGCAATAACTTTAACATTGCAAATTAAGCGAGTTAAGAACTCTTCACGTATAAAAAATTCAACCACCGTCACAGCAGAATTCACTAAACGGAAGTGGCAAACAAAACACAGACAAGCGAGCTAGCTCGACAGGAGCTAAATGTGCTAGCCTTGCTAACGCCAGGCTACACGCGAGATGACTGCACGTCTATGTCCATATTGGCACTGAATAACCGCTATAAAATACATTCAACGGCTCATTATGATATATACATATTGTCCGATGACAGGAGTACCTTTACAATCCTACGAGGCAGACCGGCCATCTTGTGTTAGCTATTATATTTTTAGCCGTTGACTCGCCTTCTCTTCAGGTTGGATTGACTGAGCTGCTGGGGCGGGGACAGATAACTCACGCTTCCGGTGGCTTCAGATGACGTAGACAAGTATGCTGTTGTCTAAAGACTTCCATGTAAAATATAAATGCTGCAATACTATATAAATGAACAAATAAAACATATTATGAATCTGAAATTTTAGTTAAATGTTTTCAAAGGGTTCTGAATATATATATATATATCTTTTTAATGCTGCTATTACTATTTTAAGAAGACAAAATAAAAGGGCCATTCTACAATTGCAGGAAAATTTCTGTCACACTCCAGAATTTGAAAACAGTCTATGCACAAAATACTAAAACTTTAATTTGTTGTGTAAATCACAGCTGCTCTTGTTAAATAAGTGGTTCACACATATGGTTTAAAATACACAACAGCCTTGGAGAATTCCCCAAATCCCAATTTGTCCCAACGTCTTAACAGCCAAACTGGTTGTCAAGTATAAGATTTTTTTAAAGTTATGAATCAGCTTTCTTTATTTTATGAATGCATGTATCTTGTAATTGTTGAACGACATAACAAAGAAAAAGTGACATATCAAGTCACATGCACACATCACGGGTAGACCAAAGGGCAGTCCACTTTATTATCTTTTCTGACTGCATTGCGTGTATTACCTTAACTAATGCAACCCTATTGCCATATTACCAAAGGAAGCTAAATGAATTTCAAAGATTTCTTCCTTTATTTGTATAACGACATTCATCTTTGACTTTCACAGTCCATTTCACTCCACAGCTTACATCTTTTTATGAGAAAACATTAATGTTAGCACAGATTTGCAACCATGTTACTTATACTTGTTTCCACGCAAACTGCCATAGAGTTCATCTACCAACTGGAAGATAGATGGTTTGATTCTCAGCTCCTCTAGTCTGCCTGTCAAAGAATTTTAGGCACTAAATCCTGAGTTGCCTTGATGCATCTTTTGGAATCTAAGTGTATGGACAGCAGGCTAAAAAAGGTGGAGAATTCAGCTCTGTGGAGTGGGCTTCTTCTATGTTACACTCAACAAGATTGCAAAACCAAGATGTTGTTAAAAAGCCTTAAAAATCAATAGAGACATTTTTCACCCTGGACACTATCTGTTTGACCTGTTGCCCAACAGACTGAAGAACGGTTTTTATCGAAGTGACACATCATAGCCACAGATCTACCAAATGCGGGTCAGATGTGAGGTGCATTATGACATTTGCGTTAAAACTGACACACTCATCACTTGCCACAACCCGCTTCAAGCGGGTGACATTCAGGCCACAGTTCACCCACAAAATACATCCTAAAGAGAATGAACTTTTCCCCTCTTCTTCTGCTGCTGTGTTGTACAGGTAGTTGTGCTTTGAAAGTGATTCACTTTCCCCACACACGTTGTCCTTTATGCTAACAGTTAGGTAGCAGAAGTAGTGTCTCTTTAACGGGTTCCTATATTTTTCAGCATAGCTGTTCAGCGTACCTCTTTAATGAGAACTAAATGTCTGCTGAGCACAAATATAGTAAATTTAATTTTCATTCATTATGTTTACGTTGCTACAACACTCTTTGGTTGCTAGGCAACACGTTGACATCATAAATCGTTATTCATAATTAAAGTTTCAGGGATATGAACTAGATGCTACCATCATGAAATGAAAATGATACGACACCTTTATAAAAGGTGTTTACACGTGCATAAAGGAGGTTGGTAGGTGGCTGCTAGCCAACATAATGACATCACAATATCTGATATGGATCTGTACACCTGCACACCTGGAAGCTCTGAAGACACACGTGTGTGACTTGCCAGGCTACTTGAGAACCCCTGCTTTATATCATCAGTCTAAAGAAAATTCTACTGCAACTGTGAAGTCCAGTGTAGTGGCTGCATAAAAAAAAAAAGTAACTACTAACTTATTATTTAACAGTTTATTTAACATTATAGTGACAACAGAAGGATATCATTTGCTGTTTGGTAGCTATCTGTCCTTCGGTGGGTCCTTATTTATGCGTCGCCTTCGATACCTGTGAACAAAAAAACAGAGGACGATCAATACAGAACAAGAAGTACAGACACATTTTTAAAGAGAGAGCACATTTTCTTTCAGCTCTTTTACAGTTTCACAATCATCCAATGAATAAAAACAACAGAAGGAGCGACAGAGTCTCCTCATCAAAGTTGGCAACTCATCTAAATCTGCTGTGCTAACACTGTTAAATCAGCAAACCAGACGAAACAAGGTTGAGTAACCCACTTTCAAGGGAAATTTCTTCAATATGTTATTTCTGACCTCCAGCTTGCCAGTAAATATGGTGATGAAAAGCTTAAGACCACTTGAAAAATTACAAACAAACATGGTTGGATCTTAACAAGGTTCCAGGTAGAGCTTCCACATGCAACAAGAAGAAATGACAGTGAGACAAAACCTTTTTTTGAGCATGCAAAAAAACAAAAGACCTGTAATCACCCCAAAACAGAAAACCCAAACTCAGTAATAAGTAGCTCCACCGTTATTGCTGATCACTTCAAACATTTTTCAAGTGGTCTTAAACTTTGATCGGGACTGTGCAATACCAATAATACCCGTAACATAGATATATCCAGATACACAATTTTCTATACATAATTCATCTTGTTGATCCAAATGTAAACTTTGGAGGAATAAATCAACAATAAATTACTAAAGGGAGACCAGATGAAGAACATCGGGGCAAATCTCCCACCAACCTTTTCATCACAGACCTTTGCCTATGTGTGTGCTACTTGTGTACTTACTGTCCAATTGGATAAAAGCGGTGTTTTGTAGTGAAGAACATCTTGCTCAGCTCTTCTATTGTGGGGCCGTTGTCCTTGAGCACCTCCTTGCTGAGGTGGGCCTTTAAAACCTGGTCGTGCGTCTCGACCTGGTTGGCCATTGGGTCTGGTCTTTCTATAGGCTGCAAAGATTAATTTCCCGTTTTGTAAATACACAGTGTTTTATTGCAATCCTGAAGCTTTTTCACTTGTTGTGCACAGAACAGTTACATCATTTCTAATGGCTGTAAGTCTGATACTTCAAGTTTATTTGTTATAAAATAATAACAGGTCTAAAACTATATCCAGAATACTTCTGAAACCTACACAGTAGTGCCTTACCTGGGTAAGCTCATAGGGAATGTCCACAGTGGGATGGTAGCACACTATGGTTTTTCCATCTGAGGTCACACCCATTTCCACATTACTAAAGCCAAAAATTTGAAAGATTAGTATCTATGTCAAACTTAAGTACTTAAGTAGTTGTCACATTTTTTTTAAAACTTCATTAATTATTCCAACAACACAACTACAAAAATGTTACATATTTCTGCAGCTACAGTGCTTTGCAAAAGTCTTGAAGTAACAAATTCTTTATATTTTGCTAGTTAAATGGGAAATATGTACACCAGTTTTAAGTTTATACAATTCTAATGGGCTTGAAAGTCATTATTTTGTATGAACACCTTTATTTTTCAACACAGCCTGAACTCACTTAGGCAGTTTTCTTGTAATTTCTTTAAATATTCTTCAGGAATAGTTCTCCAGGCTTCTTGAAGGAAATTCAAAGCTCTTTTTTGGATATTGGCTGCTTTTCTTTCACTAGCTGTTAAAATGATCCCACACTGCTTCAATAATGTTGAGGTCTGGGCTCTGGGGAAGCCAATCCATGACTGATGGTGTTCCATTGTGTGTTTTGCCATACTTTTTCTGCACTGGCAGTGTGTTTGGGATCATTGTCATGCTGAAAAGTCAAGCCGTTGTCTATCAGACTCCTTCCTGATAGTATTATGTGGTAAGCCAAAACATTATGACGCTTTTCTGAGTTTGTTTGTTCTATTTTGAGAAGATCCCGAACACCCCCAAACAACGACAGACCCTCCACAGTGGCTCTTGTACTTCTCTCCTGACCTCCTCTGCACATATTGATGATGATTTGAACCAAAGATTTAAAATTTAATTCATCATTCCATAAAACCTGATGCCACAAATCTTCAGTCCAGTTTTTTTGTAATTTGGCATACTTCAGCCTTTTCTCTTCCTTAAGAATGAACTGAACTTCCACTGAAACCATTTCTGATGAGGCACTGGTGAACAGTAGATGGATCGACTGAGGCATGCTGTGTCAAGTCTTTGCTGGATTTTTTTCTCCACTTGTTCAGTTTCCTTCGATCTTTTAAGGATACACTTCATCCCTTGAGTTGGTTGTCTTTATAAGGAATTTATGTTTCCTTATGTCATGCATAAGAAAGGGAGTGAATTTAGTGTGAAAAAGGCACCAATGACCAAAGAAAAACTTTCAAAGTTCTTCAGAAAGAAGGAGAACTACCAATTGAGGCCTCTTTAAAAATTACAACACATTACATCTGGCTGCTTGGAGTCAAAATTTAAAGTAATGAAATAAATTATTGCTCAAGACTTTTGGACAATACAACACGCAGTGCTAATTCTAATCCACAAGGTAAGCTAACTACTTTCGTCTTTGTTCATCTCATCTTAATTTGACAAATACAAACCATTCAGGTCCATCAAGAGAAGTAGTACCAACACTGGACTTCTGGCGAGCTGGGACCAAACAAGCTGCAGCAGGAAAACAAACACAACCAACACAGATGTAACACAAGTCCAGACAACTAATGACACAAATGGACACGGTTCAACTTCTTAGCAATAAATGAAACTCTGAAAGCTTAGAGACCATAACACAAGGATGGAGGCAGCAGCAGGAACTACTAAACACAGATGCTAGACATGATGCTGCTACTGTGCCCAACATGTGGTACGTTTACAGTCACTAGGAAACGTGTAAACTTGTAATATATTAAATTATTCGTAGCGAGTTTTTGTTTGTTTGTTTGTACAGATACACTGTGCTTCGGACAGTGAAGTCAGACTTGCCACCTAAACTGTCAAGGTTAGCCCGTTAGCTTTCACCGCTGCCGTCGCTGTTAACCATTAAATCTGTAAACTCGCGTACACTCACATGACCGCCAACAATGACAAATAAAGCATAAAACTTACTTTGTACACACGATAACCGAGTGCGACCGGAGAGTCGCGTTAGGAGACTGTTTAGTCTGCACAAACGACCCGACGCCATGCTTAATTATTTTGTATGTGCAACACTGTAATATTTCCGTCTCTGCTTTCTGACTCTGCTTCAATAGTTCCGCTGCTACACCCATCTCCTTCAATATTTCTACTCTGGCTTTATTTGTAACTCCTGCATTTCACTTCAAATTTCTTTGACATCTAACATGTTTGGATTATTTCAAAATCTCCAAAATGAACTGAACTTCATGCTGTTACATAAAATATTTTTAAATATCTTAGAAATGTTTTGTTTAAAATAAAATACAATTGAACCCTGGGATCCCCACAAATACTCACAGTTCAAATTCCCAGTGCGCACATGCATCATGTAGTACTTGTGATACCTTTATTTTCTATGTTTTTCTTTAATATGATTTAAAAACATTGATTGCTCATAGTCTGTTACTACTCAGCCCTGCTGGTGACTAACAGTAAACTGAAACATTTATGAATTCTTACGTTTCATACTTTACATTATAGGTGGTTATTTTTCTATATATTCTTAGTATTAGGTCCAGTTTTTAAATGCACTACATTTTAGCACAAAACACCAAAAGAAAGTCTTTTACTTTTTTTTAAAGATTATAGGCTAATAATGTACAGTACAACCACATAAATATTTAAACACCGCACATCCATACACATCCTTAATACATCCATCTAGTGGTTCATAAGTGGTTTGAAAACCAAAGAACAAAATCAACACAAATCTAATGAACTGTGTTTATTTCTTGAATATATGAAAGTTGGATGAGTCCATTAATTATTTATTTTTACACTTGAGCCAAATCAAATAACTGTACAGACTTCCCCCCCTCCAAAGTTTTTATCTATTAGCAGAAAAGGGTATAAAACCACTGTTCAGATCAGTATGCATGGCTTTCTTGAGAAAGTACCGGTAATCTAAGCAGCATATTACATTGGTAATGTACATTAAAAAAACTGCCTTGATTTTAAATTTCACCCAGTCATTCAAAAATCCAAAGAAGTCCACTTATATTAATATAAGAGCAACTGTTTCTCGACTTTCCTGAACAAGTCTTTAAATGTTCTTGTCAGCGGCCTCATATGTGGAAAGAGAGAAGCTGAACTGAGCTCTTTGGTTCCTTTGAGCCTGGTTTTCAAAGGTTGGCCAGCCTCTCAGTGGAGCTTCCACAAAGAAACCTCAAGAATGGCAGCTTGATGTGTTTCCACATTAGCTCAGTTTATCCATTTCAACCAGACTATCACTAGGAGACCTCCATGTCAGATGTGGCTGCAGTGCTGGATGCCTGTGATCCCGTACTTGCCACCAAGCGTTCTCGACTGCCAAAGACCTCGGCCACTAAAAGCAGTCACAACAACATTATAGCATCATTAACTGAAACAGCATCAAAAATAAATGTTTGCCACTTTAGATAACCACAGAACAAGTCGTGCAGTTGCTTTTGGAACTAACTTCACATGATTTACAAATGATTTAACTTTACCTGCTGCAACATCACTTATATCCCAAACTCGCAGACCTTCCTTCTGTCCCCCAAAGGCATAGATGAAGGGCAGGTCGGGGCAACATGACCCGCAAAACAGCACACCCTGATCACAGGTTACAAAGTCAGGTTAAACATCTTTTAACAACCACTCTTTATACACATGGAAAAATAATCCACAACACACCACAAACTTACCATTTTCATATCCCGCGAGTGCACCAGGTTGGGTTTGTTGCCTAAAATGTCCCAAATCTTAACATGTTTGTCAGCTGAAGAGGTGACCATGCATCCTTTAATCTGGCTGCTGAGGGCCAACCCTGCAGGAATTCAAAGGGGGTTAGGCGTGGTTTCTATAGCACAGTCATTACTGTATCTTTTCAAGAACACAAGGAAAGGAAGGCTCCACTTGGTTGGGCTAAATCACAGAGCCTCAGTGTTACCCAACTGTCTTCATGATTTCCTCCAGAAAGGAAGTGGTTTTGAGATGATGATGGAAAAAAGCCAACCACGAGTTTTCCCACATTTCTCTGGTATGTATGAATAATGTCAAGGAATGCTTTCATATGTTCCCAAATGACTCATTTCCAAGAAAAAAAAAAAAAGCCTTACAAAAGAAAAGCTTATCTAGAGTTTAAACTGAAAAAAGGGACTGAACACACACACACCTGACACTTCTTCATCGTGTGCCCTCAGTGTGAACACCGGTTTATCTGAGCGTGCATCGAGGCAGTAGACAAAACCATCCTCTGTACTCGCCTGAAAAATAAGAAAAAAAAAAAAACCCACGTAAAGCACACAGCGTATGAAGAACTGACAAAATCAACAGAATGAGATACGCAAAGTCATTTGCACAATGACCACACACCAGCTGGAGTCACAGCTGCTCAGCCGGGTTTTAAAAGGAATGTGATTTAATGCGGTTAAGCTTTGATGCTTTTGTATAATTTTGTTTTTCATCCTCTGATGAAAAATCAAAAAACTGAGCAGAAAAAAAAATCTGTAATTTATTGTCTGGTGAAAACAATGCGACTGAAACAAAAGTGGTTTCCCTACTAGCATAAACCACATCTCCACATGTGATTATGCTGGTCGAGCTCTGAAAATGACCTGGACATCAATGTGAAGCACCAGTGCTGGGAGAAGGCGTAACAGATGGGTCATTCTGTGTCAGCTGAACAAATGCTTCCTAAGCCTGATCACCTTACATTTCCCTGAAAAATTCCAAGGGAGTGACACACTTCTTAATAGGGAAAACGCCAAATTTATCTCTCTACTGTTCTGTTCTGTTATGTCATAGCATAGCAATATTCCAAGTCAGCACCTTTTCAGGCCCAGGCAAAAGCTTCACCTTTGATGTGAGAGTCATTGTTACAGTTACAGTCTTACAAACAGTGGCGATGACACTTTGCATATTCAGACATGCCCCCCAAAATTAAACAAATGACATTTAATATGAGCACTGGCACTTTTATGGGAGCTGAGAATAGCAATTGTTTCTTAGAAAACTTGGGATGCTCTGTAAATTGAAATGCATTTTACTGTGTTCTGCACAGCTTGTCTACTAAAGAATCCTGGAGGATGTTTTAAGGACTCACCAGGAAATTGCAGGGTGAAAAGTGGTTCCAGACCAAACGTTCCACTTGGCCACTGAACCTCCACGTCCGATAGCTGCTGTCTGGACTCCGACAATCATAAAGTACAGCTGACCTGTAAAGAGAACATGTTAAGCCTCCAAACTTTTGTCAATCCAAAATTTTCCTATAAAATCTGGTGGTGAGGAGAACAAATGACACGAACTTGTCGTAAGATCCCGATAGCAAAGTCTGGGCTTCAAACGGGTGGAATGTTAACGTCTGGACCTGAAAGACAAACATGTTTGTTACCCAGCAGCTCAATGCTGTAATTTCTGGGAATGCAACACTCAATATAAACTCTGAATTGTATTTTTATTTCTCATTGAATACCTTATCAGTGTGTCTGCGCAGGGTTGTGGCTGGCTTGCCTTGAGACATATCCCACAAGATAACAGTTTCATCTGCAGAACCGCTAGCCAACACGTTCCTAAGAAAGAGGGGACTGTGTTTCAGGAAAGACCCACTGATGTACAGATACGTACAGTTATACCACATGCATCTAATATAAACAAAGTATATGCACATCTCTCAGCCTCAAGTAAAGGGATTCAAGTATCTCTGAGACTTGTTTACAAGTGGAAGGAAGAGTGGATCGTGTGATTGAAAGATGAACTGATGCAGCATGTTTAAGTCTGTTGTGGTGAAGAGAGACCAAAGTGGGAAGGCAAAGCTGTCAGCTTACTGGTTGACTTGCTTTCCTACCTTCACCTATGATAAGAAGCAGGGGGTAGAGACTGAAATAATAAAAGCTCAGATAAAAGCTGAGGAAATGAGCTTCATTTACAGGAAATCTGGGCTCTCCATTAGAAATGGGTCAATTTTCCGAGCGTAAACAGAGGCCTGTTCATCTCTGTTTAGACTCCTTGCACCGCAACCCACATGAGAATAGGTGGTAGAAAATGGATGAATGCATATTAATGCAATCTGATACTGACTTGGCCAGCTGGTTCCAGGATAAATCCAGCACTGCATCTGTGTGCCCCTCAACAGGTTCTGCTGCTGCCCCCTGTTATTTTTAGAAGAACAGACAGAAACCGTTAATTACCAACTCAGTCTCAGCCTATATTAAACCCTTCAGAGCTTACTAAATGGACTGGTACTAATATAGTGCTTTCTACTAGAGCTGGGTATCTATTTGATTTCTATAACTGAATCGATTCAATTTTGACTCAAACAGTCAGAAATATTATAATTATGATCATTTATCAGTACATATTCACATTTTTTATATGTACAAAAACAAATCTGTCACTTGTGAGACTTCATTAGAGGTGCCAGCATCACAGCAGATGCCTTTGTGTCAAAGTAACTGAGGATAAAACACAGAAAAACATGAAGATTTTCCTGTCCTGACTTTTTATAGCAGATAACCGCCTTAAAAATATTCTGCAGTAGATCAAAAACTGAAGAAAACCACAAATCAACATATGAATATTATCTGATACTGCTAAAGTGAAGCAGAGCAAGGTTACAGCGGCCGACAGCACTGTACACAACGGTAGACTGGTGCGTAATGAGCAAATGAATAATGCAGAATATGGAGACTTTTGACGGTAAACTGGTCTCTGAGTACACTGAGAGAGAGGGCTGTGCAGGAAGTGTGATTTTTATCTTGGTGGAAGCAAAACAGTGAAAGTAAGAGGGAATTCATGACAATGTTTTTCAAACGTGAAGCGTAGTTTTGATCTTCTTTTGTTGCTGGTTCAGTAAATTTTGGTCAGAGAGTGACGAAACCTGCAGCTTTCAAATCTGTAAGACGTCAGCTTTCACCTGATGTCGCGTCTATGTACGTGCTGGCAGGTGAACGAGGGGATCCGCACACATTGTTTACATCTTTTTACCTGCTCTCATTTCCTTATTTAGTTGTTTGGCAGTTGTTGAAATAGTTTTGTGAGTTTTAACCTGAGATTCTGATATTTCTGGTAAAATACATTTACATTTAAAAATCAATTCAGGATTTAATGAAAGCGATAGAAATTCACACACTCTCACTCTGATGGGCATCTGAGGGTCCAATTTCTTGCTGAGGATAAAACCACTAATTAGGTTTTTACCTTTTTGCTCTTCTTTTTCTTCTTTGAGGCTTTTTTGCTCCCCAGAGAGAAGGCCGGCTCTAAACAGTCCACTACATCCAGATCCCACACGTCTATCTGAGGGGTCATGTTGCCCACAGCTGCATAGTTAGCTGCAGGGTAACACATACACAAACAGGAGACAGTGTTTGCTAAAAGGTCCTATACAACGAAACAAGAGACTTTATCTACATTGCATTTATCATTGATGTTTTCTTACATGTTCCTTCTGCAGGATTTGGGTCAAAATTTAGCCACTCCACACACAGTGGATAGGCTGGCAGCAGAATATCGTGATGAACATAAAGGGAGTCCTCCTCTGAGTTGTAAACTGCAAAGTAACACATTTAGCTTATTTTAAGCCACAGCAGCAGTATCCAATGAACAAAATTTCCTTCTATTTGCTGAAGACAATCCTCTGTTATCTGTCCATTGGGTCAGTAAATGAAGGCATTTACCAAAGATTTCCAAATTGCAGCAATCCTTCTCTGCTTTGCCTGCCAGGATCAGGTTGTCAGTGGGTTTGATTTGAAAGTCCTCACGCTCATACTGGTCCTAGGAAGGAAGTTATCCAAAATAATTAACACAAATTTCTTGCACTGGAAAACAAATGAGGGGTTTTAAAGTTTATAGCAGCTCCTCAGGCACAACACAGAATGCATGCACTTATTTTTGGAGGCCACTCACTGTGTCTTTGATGGTGATGTAAGGATCCTCCTCATTAGAGCTGAACACTGTGAGTCCAGCCAGGCTGTCACCAAGATTAGCGGTCACTAAAACAGAGGCAGAGCACCAGAAGATATGGGATGAAGCGGCAAAACTACTCAAATAACCAAAGAGCACCTTGCCCCTTCCTCACCTGCGTCTTCTTCATCATATTTATCCAGGCCATACTCTGCAAGCTCATCCCCCTCCTCCTTTCTTTCTTCACTCTCATCCTGTGGCACTTCAGCAGTATCACTCTCTTCAGCAGGTACACCCTCAGCATCTTCTTCTTCGTCCTCAGCTGCCAGTTCCCTGGGGGCATTCAAAGAAGTAAACAAAAAGTACATGACAGCAGGCACAGTGTGATGGGATACACGGGAGCAGTGAGCCTTTAACATACCCCAATTCTTCTTTCGCTTCAGTGATGATTCGCTGGAGCTCCTCCTGGCTCAACTCAACCTAGAGTTAAATTTTAAAAGTGGCTTTATTATTTTAAAATATATATGCCATTTACTCGAGGTTCAATACGTGTAAAGGTTTGGGCACTGCCATGTTGACAGATTAGCCGCCGGTCGGCTAACATGCTAATGTTACTTACTTTATCCGGGGTTTCCTTGGCAACGCCTCGTTTTACCCACCCGATACAAGTAATCTGGGAGCTCATTGCGGACAAACTGTGCGGTTTATGTACTCAAAACTTTATAAACTACACACTAAAAGACTATTTAACCTCAGGCACGCACACTGGGGGCGTACATGTGAGTTTCACTGGGTCCTGCGACGCGTCTTGATGGCGTTTGAGGAGCGTTGAAAAATCTGCCTGATCAAAAATGTAGCAGAGAAACTTGACTTCTGAACTGGGATTTCTAAGAGGAATCCCTCAAAAGCAGAATGTCAAAGTAATCCCACTTTGAAGAAGTTTAATTATACATGTAACGCCTGAGATTTATATAACAAAAATAGTGTAATTTCAACAGTATGTTTCAGTTTTACTATTTGTTGAAGAAATTCTGCTGTAGTACAAGAAAGAAATCTGTCAGCACGACTTAAATAGCAAGAAATAAATAAGCTGTAAATAAGAGTTCTCTTAAAAAATCCCACAAAAACTCTGGACCCATTGCTAACACAATTTCCATAGCAGGTAGTGAAAAAGGGAATTTTTCTGTCATTTGTTTATCAGTTACTTACTTTGGTGTAATACCAATGGCCACGTGGGAGCTATTTATCAGTAGGGAAAACTGTAAAACTTAAATGAAAAAGTAGTAAAAATTCTTAACATTTTCCAAAGCTGTCTAGTAGGCTGGATTGTCTTTGCAGGCCAGGTCAAGCCCCCCAGCCTTATGTTTGACATCCCTGCTGGTTTTAGAGTTTATTTGGTCAGGTGACCATTAAAATTAAGGATAATTTAGACAGTGCTGTGAGGCATTCTAAGGTAGCTGCTTCTGCTAAGTATCACTGAGAAGTTTTTGCTGAGACTTTGATTTTTGCCTTTCTGTTGTGATTTAAAGGTGCACCCCCCTCATCTCAGTATAATGGCCGTGTTTAATTTTACTAACGTGAGCACTACACTTGTATTCGTATCAGAGTTGAGGGCTAAATGAAATGTATGACGTAAGACACGAAATATGCTTTTTATAGATATATATAAAAAACAATTTAATGACAGTATAAAACAACAAGACAATAAAGATATTGATATATGATACTGTTACTGGTGATTATACTTACGTTCAGGACAAAGTGGATTAAAAGAGGTACTTTCATGACTGACACGGGATAACATAAAAAGGCCTGAACCATCATTTCAGAATAAAAAATGAAGTGCAGTGGTCATACACAAGACTTATATTCACCAAAGTTTTTTCATAGGATATATTATGTTTTCCCCACTTCAACATATTTTTTTATATACAAAACTTGTTGATTATTCTCCTTACTAGAACCCCCACCTCACAAAATAAACACATGTAAAGTTTAAAGGGGACAATCTCCTGCACATTTATGCCGTGCAACATTGTGAGCTCTTTAACAGAGGTGACAAAAGCATTATACCAACACTGCACATCTGCATTTTGCAATATTGGTGATTATTAAATGTGTGCGAAAGCTGT